GTGGATTCCTCAGCGAGGTGCATGCGCCAGCGCCAGAGTGGGGCGAGGCGGTGTGGGGTTCCAGTGCTCCAGAGTGGTGTCGGTCTTGTCGTTGATTTTCTGGTGGTGCGCCTGTGAAATCCTAAGGCTGCAGCTGGTGTGAGGTGCGCTGATTGCGTGATGTTGTGATGTTGGTGCACTTCTGGTCTGTACACAGCTGGAAAGCCACGGGGCCTCGCAGGCCGAAAAGGGAGTGGTAGGTTTTGTCTCTGGCAGCTGTCCAGGCATGCGAGAGCGCTGTTTCTTCTTGCTTTTGTCAAGCCAGTGAACTGGCTCGCGCAGTCCTGGGTGTCAAATACACTAGCAGTGCCGGAGTGGGTGAGAAGTGTCTTTGCCATGTTAGGTGCACGGGGTTGTTTTGAAGGAGTAGTGCGCTTTGGTTGGCGTGGGTGGTGTGGGGGGAGTAGTGGTGCTGTTCTGGTGGTGGTTGTGCGTCTGCGCAAGTTCTAAGCGAAGTGAATGAGGGCTGTAGCGAAGTCGATGTCACCGTCAAAATCTTCGTCCAAGTGCTGCGTTGTGCGTTGTGCGTTTGGTGGCTGCGGAGGCCGCTGCTCTGCCATGAAAGGAGGTGTGTTGTGGATGGATCTGCGATGGGTGTGAGGCAAGGAGAGCCTGCGTGTAGTGCGCGAATGCTTGCAGGTTCAAGGATTGCCCTGGCACAAAGCTTGTCTGTTGGGCCGACTGTGTCGTTTGCCGCGAATTGTAAGTGCATAATATATTAGCTTCTTTTTTGCGAAGACTGAGCCATGGATGCTGGGTGTTTTGTTTTGAAATCGATACTTGGCATGTTTCCGTCGCCGCCAGGTGAGGAGCTGTTTCAGCTGTGGTTGCGAATTGTGAGAAAGTAATGGAAGTGGTGCTTCAGTTCGTACTCCAAGCTTAGTGGAGCCGACTATGCTACTTTCCGAGAATTCCATTCCATGCCCAAGACATGGTAGACTATCCTGGCAGTCCTAGTGGTTTTGTCTAAAGCCCACAAGTCCGCGGACTACATACACTTGGACTGTTTCTTCACTTTTCCTGGCCAACCCATTGCCAGCTTGCAAAGGTACCATAAAATTCAATGAAAGGGATAATTACCAAACATCTTTTGAAGGCGAAGGCAACCAGGTCAATCTTGAGGCTTGAAGTAACCTTGAAGCAATTGTAGCTACAACCTCTCTGCGGTGTAGGTACCTGCGCCGGGGCCGAATTTGTCAGTCTCAGAGATTCCTACGTTCGAAGCGAGGCCAGTCGCAGGTGTCGAAGAAGCACAGATCTTCCATCGCGTAGCGAGGCACCAAAGACAAACACTTCTGGTCCCCCCGTGGCAGCAAGACACGGATCCTGGCCTTACTACTAGGAGCAAGGACGCTACTATCATTCTCAACTTGGCCTGATCCACTTTGAAGCTTCTCTCGTCTCACCACGAAAGGCATTGCTAAACAGCCTGGACTTACCCTCCAGGTTCATTGGGTTCATTGGTCCATGAAAAAATGAAAACATGTGGTGAAGAAGCTACTATAGTAGCTCCTGGCCGTACTAGTAACAAGAAGCTACTAGTAGATCCTGGCATCGCTACTAGTAGCAAAAAAACTAGACGACGAGTGGCCCGAAAGCATTTTTCATCACGTAGGAAATCAGAGTGCGAGTTATCCGGTAAGTGTGTAGTGAGAAGTGTTAAGTCGAGTGAGTTGAGGTAGTGTGTGGGTTTCTGTGCGTGTGTCTATGTCCGTGTGGAAACGAGTCTGCGTATGTGTGTGTTCGTGGAAGTTGAGGGAGTGTGTGGGTGTTTGTGTGCGATGCGGCCTCCCAAACCCCCCACCGGCGGCCAAGCGGTGACAGCCCAGCTCATCGTCGTGAGCATTTGGGCTGCTGGTAAGGGGACAATGGCAGCCAGCGTGCTGGCTTACCCACTTCAACTATGATGGCAGCCAGCGTGCTGGCTTTGCCATCT